GCTGGCCCGGGAGCGGCCACTGCACTCCCAGTCTGGGCGACAGAGTGAGACTCCAACTCAAAAAAAAAAAAAAAAAGATAAATGTTCAGGATCCACTTATGAGAGAGAACATGTGGTACTCAGTTATTTGTTTCTGTGATAGATCACTGAGTATTACAGACTCTAAATCTATCCAAGTTGCTGCGAAGTTGATAATTTTGCCCTTCTTTATGGTTGCATAATATCCCATCGTGTATATGTACCACATTTTTTCAATCCAACCTCTTTCAATGAGCAGCACGGTTGGTTCCATGTTTTTGCTATTGTGAATAGTGCTGCAATAAGCATGTGTGTGCAGGTATCTTTCTTGTAGAATGATTTGAGTTCCTCCGGGTATATTCCCAGAAGGGCGATTGCTGGGTCATATGGGAGGCTGATTTTTAGATTTCTTAGGAATCTCCACACTGTTTTCCACAGAGGTTATACTAGTTTACACTCCCATCAACAGTGTAGAAGTGTTTCCTTTTCCCCATATCCTCTCCAGCATCTGTTGTTTTTTGAGTTATTGATGATGGCCATCCTGACTGGAATTAGGTGATATCTCAGTGTAGTTTTAATTTGCATTTCTTTGATGATTAGTGAGACTGAACATTTTTTCATGTATCTGATGGCTGCTCTTATGGCTTCTTCTGAGTAGTGTCTATTCATATCTTTTGCCCAATTTTTAATAGAGCTACCTGTTTTTTTCTTTTAAGCATATTTTATTTCCTTGTAGATCCTAGATGTTAGGCCTTTGTCAGGAATACAGTAGGCAAATATTTTTTCCCAGGCTGTGGACTGTCTCCCCGCTCTCTTGATGGTTTCTTTAGCTTTGCAGAAGTTTGCCAATTTGATGAGATCTCACTAGTCTATCTTATCTCTTATGGTGTGGGCACTTGGGTTTGATCAGGAGTTGGTTGCCAGTTCCAATTTCCATTTCCATAAGGGTGTCTCCTACGTTTCCTAAAGTTTTTATAGTTTGAGGTTTTTCGTTTAGGTCTTTGATCCATTTAGAGTTGATTTTTGCGTATGGTGATAGATATGGGTCTTGTTTCAATCTTCTGCACGTCGTCAGTCAGTTTACCCAGCCCCATTTACTGAATAAATTCTCTTCTCCCCAATAGTTGATGGTGAAGGCTTTGTCAAAGATGAGGTGGTGGAAAATTGAGGTTTTGCTTCCAGAAACTCTAGCCTATTCCATTGGTCTATATGCCTGTTCTTCTACCAATACCAGACTGTTTTGATTATTGTAACCTTATAGTAAAGTTTAAAGTCTGGAAGTATAGTATTTCTTACTTCGTTTCTTTTTGTCGAGGATTGTTTTGGCTATTCGTGGTTGTTTATGATTCCATATGAATTTCTGTATTGTTGTTTCCAGGTCTGAAAAGAATGATGCTGGTAATTTAATGGGTATTGCATTAAATCTGTAGATTGTCATTGGTAGGATGGACATCTTAACAATGTTGATTCTTCCAATCGATGAGCATGGAGTATTTTTCCATTTGTTTGTGTCATCCTTGATTTCTTTGAGTAATGTTTTGTAGTTTTCATTGTAAAGGCTTTTCACTTCTCTGTTTTAGGAAGATGCCAAGATATTTCATTTTGAGTGAGAGAGAGAGAGAGAGAGAGAGAGAGAGTGTGTGTGTTGTGTTGTGAATGGGGTTGCACTTTTTATTTTGTTCTCTGTCTGTTTGTTGTTTGTGTATGAGAATGCTACTGTCTTTTGCACATTGATTTTATACCTTGAGACTTTACCAAAGTCCTTTATTAGTGCAAGGAGTTTTTCTGACAGATTCCCTTGGATTTTCAAAGTATAGAATCATATCATCAGCAAAGAGGGATAGCTTGACTTCCTCTTTCACTACCTTGATACCCCTGATTTCCTTCTTTTGTCTAATTTATTTAGCTAGGACTTTCAACACTATGTTTAACAAGAAGGGTGAAAGTGGGCAGCCTTGTCTTGTCCCAGTTGTCAGGGAAAATGCTTCTAATTTTTGTCCATTTAGAAGAAATTGAGTTTCCTCTCAATGTGGGTTTATCATAGATGGCTCTTACTATTTTGAGGTATGTTCCCTCTATGCCTAGGTGTTCAATGATTTTTATCAATAAGGATAGATGGATTATATCGAAAGCTTTTTCTACATCTAATGATATAACCATGTGATTTCTATTTTTACATCTGTTGATGCATTTAATTACATTTATGTTCTTGCAGATGTTGAACCAGCCCTCCATCCCAGCGATGAAGCCTACTTGGTCATGGTGGATGATTTTTGAGATGTGTCATTGGATCTGATTTGCTAGAATCTTGTTGAGAATTTTAGTATCTATGTTCATCAGGAGCATTGGCCTGTAGCTCTGTTTCTTTGTTGGATCTTTACCTGGTTTGGGTATCAGTGTGATGTTAGCTTCATAAAATGATTTGGGGAGAGTTCTGTCTTTCTTGATTGCTTGGAATACTTTCAGTAGGATTAGTATCATCTCTTCCTTGTATGTTTTCTAAAACTGCGCTAGAAGACCGTCTGGTCCAGGACTTTTTTTTGTAAGATTTCTTTTTCTTTTTTAAATTTTAAAATTGTGGGGTGCAATTCAGGCTTAGGTATACAAATATTCATTGGGCAGATACCCTTGTTGATGAGGTGTGCCCCCCTTCCCCAAGCAGTTTCCCACTATTGCCAGTCCCACCTCCCCGTCCCCCATGCCCCCGCAGTTTCCGCTACTGTCATTCCTGTTTTTATGGTATTACGATAGTTGTTCAAGGTCCACTTATGAGTGAGAACATGTGATACTCAGTTCTTTGTTTCTGTGAAAGATCACTCGGTAGTATAGACTCTAAGTCCATTCAGGTTGCTGTGAATTTCATGATTTTGTTCTTCTTTACAGCTGCGTAATATTCCATTGTGTATATGAACCACATTTTTTTAATCCAGTCCTCTTTTGATGGGAAGCACGGTTGGTTCAATGTTCTTGCTATTGTGAACAATGCTGCAATAAGCATATGTGTACAGGTATCTTTTTTATAGAGTGATTTGAGTTCTTCCAGGTATATTCCCAGTAGGGGGATGGTGGAGTCATATGGAAGGTCAATTTTTAGAACTTTTAGGAATTGCCACACTGTTATGACCGAGTCTATTTTCTGTGTTGTTATTGGTTTATTCAATGTCTCAATTTCTTCTTGTTTCAAACTTAGGAGGTTGTGTAATGTCAGAAAGTCCTTCATTTCATTTAGGGAAAAACCTACTGTCTTATAGATGGGACTATTTTGACTCTTAAGAGATTTTTAATGATGTGTTTATGTATATGTGTGTGTATGTGTGTGTGTGTGTGTGTGACAACATTTGAAAATCTAGGGTTAGTTTAAAAGAGTGAATGAGTGCGAATTTGAACTTAAGTTCTTAAAATCTGAGTGAGAACTTTAGACTTGATATAAAAAGCAATGTGATAGCATCAAAAGTACATTAAATTAGGAGTTGGAAGACTTGCATTCTGACTTTAGACGTTTCTTTGACTTGATGTAAGATTCTAGAAAAGTCATTTTCCCTCTCTAGAGTAAAGATTCATAAACAGTAATGAGGGTTTTGATTATATGATCTCCAGAATCTGCTTCTATACTAAAATTTAAAGATATAATCAGAAACTATCATTAAGCAATTCTAATATTATACTATAAATAATTATTAAAATAGGATCTATTTATTAAAATTATATTTTATAAGTTGGATTTTTAGAATAATATAATGAAGAAAGGCATTTTCCCATAATTTAATATATCAAAAGAATTTACAATCAAGAATTGTACTGGGTTGGGCACGGTGGTTCATGCCTATAATCCCAGCAGTTTGGGAGGCTGAGGTGAGAAGATTGCTTGAGCCCACGGGTTTAAGACCACCCTGGGTAACTTGGCAAAACCTAATCTCTACAATAGATCAAAAAATTAGCTGGGCATGGTGGTGCATGCCTGTAGTTCCAGCTACTTGTAAGGCTGAGGCAGAAAGATTACCTGAGCCCAGCAGTTCAAGGCTGCAGTGGCTGTGAGCATGCCACTGCACTCCAACCTAGGTGACAGAGTGAGACTCCAACTGAAAAAATAAATAATTAAATAAAGACTTGTACTGAAGTATTATGTTGTGTCTTTAAGGTTCAAGAGAGAACTGTTTCTATGCCTTACAAACAGAATCATGCACACCATGTCAAATTCTCTTTAAGGTATGTGTCTTTGATTTCTATATTCAAATTACTCATGATTAATTATCACATAAAAAACTAAAGCTGGTTTATTTTACACTACTTTCTGTGTGAATTTGAAACTAAAATATCAGTGATAGTGTCATCCCCATTGACATCACTGGTCCACATTTAAAACTTTAATTGCAATGATCTATTGACTAGATCTTTCACATTTGAACATACTTCAATCTTTGTGTTATTTAGTTTGATAATTAGCTGGCAAGATCCAAAATTCAAATTAAAAAATCAATAACAATGAATTATTTGACAACATTCAATTAGTCATTGATGATAAAAAGATATGAAATTTCAAATGACTTTTTGTGCATGTACTACATGATAAAACAAGCTAATTCACAGAATGGGTAAGCCTAAAAATGACCTGCAGTCAAAATCAAATCTAAGACCTAATATTATATCTGTAAAGTATCATATATAATATTGATACTAGTGACTGTATTTTTATCCTTGTAATATCAGTGATCTTCAGTAATTTTCAAAGATAATATTCTGTATTTTATATTGTGCGTGCAATGTGTTATATTTGAAAGCCAAAATTTAAGGTCAGTTTTCTTTGAAATCTCCCACCAATTCACAATGGCAAGAACTTAATCTATATTCATTTACTCAGTTATTCAGTAAATATTTATTGAACACTCATTAAATTCAAGATATTGGATAGTATGGTCAGGTGGCACAGAGTTGATTATATGGAATATGTGTCTTCCTACTTCATAATTTAAAAAATTCCATACATTTAGTTCTTCAGATTTAACTGGTATACAGAAATCTTGAAAAATTGGAAAACAAGACTGGGAACTTTTTCTCTGTACTCAGTGAGTGGGTTGTTATGGTCCATCTGACCTCAAAGGACATAAATCATTTTCATTTTGAGTATTGTTTTTAGTATCATGGAACATAGTTTTAATAAAATCCAATACGTAAAAATCAAACAATGTTAAACTCAGAGTGATTGTTCACTTTACAAAGGATTTTGAATTTATTAATGGCAGATACATTGACTTTAAATATGGTTAAATTTATAAAATTTAAATGAAATGCATGTCTTACCTGAAACCTGGGTCTGTAAAAGAAACTTTTGTCTCTTACAGGACTAAATCAATAACCAAAGTCCTTCCTATATAAAAATACTAAAGTAACTACAAAGTTTAACAGCGCTGGCCCCAAACAACTTTCTAAATTTTATTGAATTAGAATAGTAAGAACGAAAGTCCCTTATCTATACATCTTTCTGTTTATCTATATCAAAAACAGGACATGAAAAAACATGAACTTCAAACATTTAAAATCAGGATAATAACAACAGAATATGTAACATAACAGTCATTTATTTTGTTTATTATGTTAAAATACACTAGCATATTTTTATTGCTGTAGTGTTCAGGTATAATATTGTCTTATTATTAGCTTTAAAAGTTTATAGGAATTTTTAGAAATAAATATATGTGAAGGAAAGATACACTCTTTGGAAACACATTTTTGTTTCTATATTTTGGAAATTGTTCTCTGTTCTAGACAAATTAGGGAGTTTGGGGGAAAATGGAAATTATTACTTAAGCTATATTTTTTCAATTTGATATATATTCATATATTTAAACAAAACTTTGTGTTGGTCTTTATGTTGAATTGTACATTCCCCTTTTGAATGTTAGGACATGGCACATGCTTTTCTGTCTTTTCATTAGTGTTCCTCAGCGGTCTCTTTTGGAACAAGCTCAGAAGCCCATTGACATCAGACAAAGGAGTTCGCAAAATTCTCAAAATTGCCCAGCAGCATCAGGTGATTCAAAGCACAAAGCTTCAGCACTCAAAACACGGAGCTAATGTTTAGCAATTTATATTTCAGAAGTCAAGAAAGAAGAATTTCAAGAAGGAATGAATCAAGAGTATCAGGGAGGTCAAGTAGGATTAGGACCAGAAGTCCATTGGACTTGGCAGTTGGGTGGGCAGGGTTGACCTTTGAAAAATGGAAAATAATTTTTCTGACATTTCTTCTTCCAGTTGGGTAGTAGTTAGGAATATGTCTTGGGGGGGGTCAACTTTATTTAGTTTTTATACCAGGTGAGAAAAATTTGGGAAAGAAACTTGGTAGAGGCCTCTCCAACAGAATAAAATTTATAAGTAGCCATTTGAATGTTGGATGAAATAGTTGTGAGCATGTGTTTTATTTATCAGTTTGTTATTTTGCCTTCCCAAACTGTGAGAGTATCTCATCAATATCCCTAAATGTTACAAACTGATGGTTTTGCTCAGAATACATGAAAAATTAATCAATCAAATCATAGAAAATAACCTCAAAAGCTGATATGAATTTCAAACAAGTGTTTTATTTTTAAGATGTGTTTTTGAGATAATTTATATGAATTACAGACTTGTTAAATATTAGGATAAACAAAACCAAAAATTATGCCTTGGATCATGAAATCTGGCATTAGCTAGTTTTAAGCAATCCAGGTAAGTTAAGAAAGAGAAAAATGCCTGATTGAGTCTCTGAGCCATCAATAAAAATGTAGCATACAGATTTTATTAAATTAATAATAAAATATAGATATACTTCACTTTTCAAAAAATAAATATTTGAAGACCAGAACTCAAAAACCAAATTCTTCTTCTTAAGAGACTAACATAATGATTGAATTATTTCAAATAGTAGTGTCTCATCATGCACAAATGCTATGTTGTGAGAAATAAAATAAACCTCAGTAAAGAGTAAATTTAGGTTTTTTTATTCCCCACAGAGTCTTTTCTTTCTGGTTTGATTTGGGCTAATTTTACTAATACTGTGTAAACAACAAACAATTTAAGGTTTATTAATGTTGTATTTTTGAAATAAGAAAATTCTGGATTAGGCCCAAAGCAGTCATGAACACTGATGGAAAGGAGTAGGAATAGCATCTGGGAAGACAATAGTTAAGCTTTTTTTAGCTCCCAAAATCTGTTATTTTATTGAGTATGCTCCACAGACCATTTTATATTCCCATGAGATCACATGCTTCATCATGGAAGAAATCAGAGCACCTTACTACAGATTTTTCTCAAAATCTCCAAACACTCACTTGAGCTTCTTACTAGGTCTACTAATACATCAAAAGATTTGAAAGAAATAGTTTCCTGCAGAAAAATAATAAACAGCAAAAGTTTAACAGTGCCAAAGGACAGAACACAAGCGGTAGCATGTGTTCAGTGTAATGTCTCAAAAGACAGCAATGTTTACAAATGTTCTATGGAGTTGTGGGGTCTATACTTTGGCTATATATATGAAGTCTGAAAATAAAAGAAGGAAATTGTATTTATCTTTAAAATCCAAGCTCATACAAACAATAAACAGGGACCTGAGTGGTCCCTTAGTGAAACCTTTTCTCATCCCTGAACATTCACTCAGGCCTGATTTTTAGGATTGTTAAAAAGCCTTGCTGGATTTCAACCACAGGTGTTACTTACCAAACCACAACCCAATATCCGAAGCTAAACTTCCAAATCAGATAAATTTGTCTTTTAAATGGGAATTTTTATACTATAGAATTGAGCTGTTCAGTGTGGTAGCAACTAGCCACATGAAAATTAAATAAAATTAAAAAGTCATTTCCTCAGGCACACTAACCATATTTCAAATGCTCAGTATTGATTTGTGACTAGTGACTACTGAATGTAGGACATTTCTATCACTGCAGAAAGTTATATTGTACATTGCTGCTATGGAAAGTTTCTCACCTTTATAAAAACTCGGTCCATTTTCTCTCTTCTCAGTAGTTAACTCTTCAACTGTGTTGAAATACATGAGGATATATCATTGGGTTGAAACCAAGGATGTAAGATTGCAGAGTCAGCTTTCCTCTTGGGAGTTTTGAATAGTTTATCATCTAAGCATACACTGTTGTGCTACTTTTCTACCCATTAGTAGTGAGGCCAGGGGTACTCCCAGCTCTTCCTATTTTGATACTTTCATTTCTAAAAAAAAAAAAAAAAAAAAAATGGATCTACCTGTCAGTCATTAGTCATACTGTGTACTTCCTCACATAGATAGAGTAAAATATTTAGTAAGTGTACACATAATATTGAAAAGCCATGTAGGTATACAGATGGAACAAAACTTGAGTCTTCTACTACCCCCTGAAAACAGAAGTTAGGATCCTGGCCCCATGAGAATGTATCAGGTGGTACTTCCTGAGTAGAATCACAGAGGCTACTAGAAAAACAGCAAGAGATTGAACACTATACAAATGAAGGCAATGGTTATAATCACCACTGTTACTAATGTGTTTTTGACATTCCATAGAATCTTCTTCTGAGGAAGAGAGTCCTGTGACTGGAAGGAGATCCCAATCATCACCACCTTATTCTACTATTGATCAGAAGTTGCTGGTTGATATCCACGTAGGTTTCCATCTTAACACATTTAGGTTATTTAAAAAAAAAATTCATTTATTTTGACTTACACTTTCTCACTTTCACTTAAGGAAGGAAAAGTTAAAGAGTTGTTTTTAAAATTAATCTATTAAAATAGATCAACTGCTCTATAAACACACAGATACAAAATCTAGAAATTAAATTGAAGTGGGAAAACTCTTAGCCAATCAGTCAATGTACTTTTTCATATTCGTGTGGCAGTTAGGACATCTTTGAGAGAAGAGTGACAAGAGCTACTTTTAAAAGCAAATCTCAGATTAATAGGTAGAAGTTAGATGCTCAATTTTTAAAATAGCATTCCTGGGTGCTGAGGCAATCTATAAAAATAAAATATTTAGTAAAAAATAAAGTGTTCTCTGATTGTGTAAGTGAAAAGGATATTCTCATTTTTTGCAGTGTGCTATCAGATTATTCTACTTTTGTAATTACCCTTGTGCTACCATATATAAATTCCTTCCAGCTTGCCAGAAAGTTGGTACATGATATATACCAGACTTAAAAATACATATTAATTTGCTTTTTATACATGTTTAAGATATTTTAAGACAACCTATGGCATGTAAAACTAGAGCTGGAAAATTAACTTATCAATTTCAAGAGCAGTGTGTTAACTCCAATGTCAGGGAATAAAGCAAAAGAAAAAAGTTACTGTATTTATAGAGCATCAAATCACCAGTTCTGCTTTTCAGAATCAAAAACAAATGTCAACTCTTCAGTAAACAAGTAGAGGGAATTTTTTTTAAAGTGAGTAAATTTTGCCCTATATAATCCAGAAAGACTACTAATAATCACAGTCTAAGTTTTGGCATCTCATCCTCAATAAAATTTTGGCTCTATATGGTGAGTGGACATCTTGAAAACATATTTTATAATGTCAGCTTGAAAACTTTCCAATCTAGAAGAAAATGAAAAGCTACTAGAGATTACATTAACCTTTCTTGTGCACACAGGTTCCAGATGGATTTAAAGTAGGAAAAATATCACCCCCTGTATACTTGACAAATGAATGGGTAGGCTATAATGCACTCTCTGAAATCTTCCGGAATGATTGGTTAACTCCTGCACCTGTCATTCAGCCACCTGAAGAGGATGGTGATTATGTTGAACTCTATGATGCCAGTGCTGATATTGATGGCAATGATGACGATTCCAATGATGCTTATGAAGATACCTATGACCATGACAATGGCAATAATGACTTGAGTAACCAGGTTGACCAGGTTAATGATGGCTATAAAAACCATGATGATGATGGCAACGATGATGAGTCTGTTGATGACACAGATAATTGTGATAATGCACCTAGTTGGCCAAGGTTTGTTTTTCTGTATTATATATACTACTCATATTTTATAACTTCAGGACTATTTGCATCTTTGATTTATTTTCAAAATTTATTACTAAGAAGGTGAATGAATTTCACTTGCATATTGGTAAATGGTTTTATTTTCAATAATAGATCTTAAATTCTTCTAATGTTCTATCACCTAATTTTTCCTATAAAATTAACATTCAGGTATTTATTCATTTTTTAATAACTAGATTTGTCTTGCTGTTTCTGTTAAAATTAATTCCACTAAATCATCCTACCCTATAAACCATAGTGAGCATGAGAAATGGGGCAGCAAAGGAAGTATGCTACTGAATAACTGTAAGATGAAGTCCTGGTATTTACAAACATAGCTATGTATTTCTCAAACAGTTCAGATATCACTCTGTATATAAAAAATTTAAGATATTCCTTATCTGGCTAATTGATGGAGAAATTACCAATAGCTCTTTTTGTTTCTTTCTAACTAAAAAGCCTACCAAAAATTCCATTGTCAAATAAATTTATTCTTAGAATTCCCACATGCATATATGCTTCATGTATTTATGCAAAATGAGAGTATTGAGACACTTTGTTAAGCTTGGTATTTTTAGCAATGAATTAAATGACTATCTTAATTCCATAAGATATGAGGTCCATATTACTGAACTTAATGTTGTGAGTAATAGACCAATGGAATTCTACAGCAAAGCAGTCAGTGCACATGTTAGAAAATCAAAGCAGATGTTACAATTAATACAAACTAGATATATTGCAAAAATTATTCAAATATGTTGTGGTTGAGTCAAAAATATAGGTTTGATCATTCATGCGGCTGTGAAGCTTCTAATGCATAGCCTATTATTTAAGAAAAAAGTCCAACCAGGCTCAGTGGCTCAGCGTGTAATCCCTCGCCTTTGGGAGGCTGAGGTGAATGGATTGCCTGAGCCCGCGGGTTCGAGACTCGCCTGGGCAGGCGAGACCTCATCTCTACAATAAATCAAAAAATTAGCCGGGCATGGTAGCGTGCACCTATAATTCCAGCTACTCAGAAGGCTGAGGCAGAAGGATGGCCGGAGCCCAGGAGGTCGAGGCTGCGGTGGCCAGGAGCAGCCACTGCACTCCAGTCTGGGCGACAGAGTGAGAGACTCCAACTCAAAAAAAAAAAAAAAAAAAAGAAAGAAAGAAAGAAAAAAGGCCAAGTTCCTGCTACTAATCTAACACATGCACCTAAGAAATAGTGCAAGTTATTTTCCCTCTGCCGTCCAAATGCAAACAGGGAATTGACAGTTACCATGGTATTAATTCAGTATTTGAGATTGACAAGACATGGGAGCATTTTCTTTTCTATATCATACCAAATGTTCACATAGAAAAAAAGGGATGCCTGGACATGGTAGATATGTGTTAGAAATGTCCTACTTCTGTTTCATTTGCTAACTTTCAAATGTGTTTTTATTGCGTGGCTTTCTTTCATTAATCGGAGATTGTTATCAGGGCAAGCTATGGCAGAGATGGAAGATACAAGCAGGATGGTGGTGATGGAAAAGTAGTCTACAGAGGCTATGGAAGCCTTAGAGCCAGTAGAAGACATGGAGGAAGGGCAGCCAGTGGAGGCAGTGCAGCCATTGGAGACCAGGAGGGACATAAAGCCAATATAGGCAGTGGAAGAAGAGGCAGCAGGGGTAATGGAGGTAAGGGAGTCAGCGGAACCAATGAAGAGAGTGGAGCCCTTGAATTCAATGGAGAAGAAAATTTCTCAGAGATGTATGGTCCAAGATTTAAGAGACTTGCATCCCAGGACTTTGAACATCAACAGGAGGTAATGTATCATTTGGAAAAGATAATGAACTCCTCTCATTGTGACTGTGTTTCTTCATGTGACACGTAGCATTTCCAGCCATTCCAAATAGATTTTAACCATGTATTCCAAAGCCTTTAACATGTTCAATTATAGGTGTGTAGGTAGCTTACTACTTCTAAGTTGGATGGTTCCTATTTACTTCTAGGGACAAAAATCTATTTCTCTGCCTTTATCACTCAGATCACATGCTTGGGATAGCATCACTTGACACATGCAATTAAAAAAATTTGTCTTCAAAAAATATTCTTTGAGACAAGTCTCACTTTGTCACCCAAGTTGGTGTGTGATAACATGATCTAGCTCACTGCAGCCTTGAACTTCTGAACTCAAGCAATCCTCCTGTCTCAGCCTCCTGAGTACTCACCGCGACAGAAACAACACCAAATCCAGCTACTTTTTTCAGATAGAGTATTGCTATGGCCCAGGCTAGTCTCAAACTCTTGGCCATAAGTGATCCTCCTGCCTCAGACATGAGTCACCACACCTGGCTCCTTTAATCTTTTAATTGGCACGTGATAATTATACAGATTTATTGGGGTACAGAGGATATTTCAATAAATACAATATGTAATGATCACATCAGGGTAATTAGTATACCCATCATCTCAAACATTTATCCTTTATTTGTGTTGAGAGCATTCAAAATCCTCTCTTATAGCTATTTGAAAACACGCAATAAATTCTTGTTAACTAAGTCATCATACAGTAATATAGAACACTAGAACTTATTTCTCCTATCTCATTGTGATTTCGGGTTTCTATCCCAGAAGAACATGCCAGTTTTACTGGCCTAGTGTTGGTTTCCCTGCTGTGCAGAATCAGAGTAATGGCCTTTCCTGGTTCCAAGCTCTGAGCTATTGGGGTCATGGCACTTCAACCACCCATGCGTATGCTTGGTTGAATAACAGTGGAAACCCAAGGCTAGAGAGGCACAGTGGTTACTGTTCCCCAGAGCACAGTGCGCTTCAACAGTGGTCCTAGTTTTAAGGTGGTACTGGGCTGTAGCTGCTTGGGTCATACTGGGTGGGGGGAGTGCACAACATTTGCTCTTAATCTGGAGCAATACAGCCATGTGAATACCAAGCACCTTTCCAAACTGAACTCAAGGCGTACAAGGACTGCAGGATTCTCCTGTAGTAAGGACTGCGAGAGTCTGTGGTGGCAGTGGTGACTAATGGAAATCTTCTGCTTACCTTTTCTCCACAAGGAGAAGTTCCTCCTAGCTCTGAACAGATCCCGGCAGGGGAGGTAGGGCAGCAGAGGCAGAGTGCCTCGCTTCCCTCTCTATGCTGCTATTTCGAACTGCAGTGCTACACGGGCACCTCATCACTCCCTCACAGCACTCCAGTGCTCTCCCTCAGACTCTCCAGTTGCATTTCAGTTGCTTATTCGTTCCCTTGGTCCTTTTTTGTGAGGGGGATGGGCACCAGGCACCACTAATCAGCCATCTTGCTGATGTCACTCCAAGTAGAGTCAACTATTTTTTTCTGGAAAGAGTTCTTAAGTTGTGGTAAAACATACATATTTTAAATTTACTACTTTAACAATGCTTAAGTGTACAACTCAGTTGCATGTATTACGTTCACAATGTCGTGCAACCATCACTACTATCAGTTTCCAGGACATTCTTCTCATGACATAAAACTCAGCAATTAACTCCCAGTTCCTCCTCTCCCAACCCCTAGGTAACCACTATTCTACCTTCTATCTGGGTTTCTTATGTAAGTGGAATCACGCAGTATTTATCCTTTTGTGTCTGGCTTAGGTCAGTTAGCATGTTTTCAACATTATTCATGTTGTAACATGTTAGAATTTGTTTCCTTTTTTAGGAGGTATAATAGTCTATCTTATGTACATATTGCATTTTTTTTTTTTGAGTTGGAATCTCACTCCGTCACCCAGACTGGAGTGCAGTGGCCGCTCCTGGTCACTGCAGCCTCTCCCTGCTGGGCTCCGGCGATCCTTCCGCCTCAGCCTTCCAAGTAGCTGGAACTACAGGCACGCGCTACCACACCTGGCTAATTTAATCCATTCATCTGCTAATGGAAACTTTAGTTGTTTCTACCTTTTGGTTGTTGTGAATAATGCTGTTGTGTATATTCGTGTACAAATATCTGTTTGAGTCCCTTCTTTAAGTTCTTTTTGGTTTATAGCCAGGATTGGTATTGCTACATCATATAGTGAGTCTATGCTTAACTTGTTGAGGAACTGTTAACATGTACAATTTTAATTGAAGTAATGTACTGTGTTTAGACAATGACTTTGTCATTCACAAAATACTTACTGACATTATAAATAGACTTACGATCATCAAGTAGCTCATAGATGCTCAATCAGTGGGAATTGGCACAGAAAAGATCTCCAGGAGCAAGTGTTATTTGAACTAATTCTTGACAGATGGGGAGTATGTGGATATATAAAAATACAGGCGGAACTTTAGACAAAGAAAATATAATGCTAGCCTACTTTCCCACTCTGTTGTCTTATCATATAAACTGGCTTTGAAGATTCAGACTTTTTCATGAATAGGTGCTCCTTGTGCAAACTGTTTCCTCTGGAAGCCTGCTCCCTTACCTTTTCTCTGCTTGTTGAATTAATTATCCTTCATGATCCAACTGAAATATCATCTTTGATTTTCCAAGGTATAAATATGTACCCTTTTCTCTGTGCTTGCAAGCATTTTGCCCGTTGCTCCATTTTAGTACTTATGACATTGTAGTTTGGTTATTTGCTTATTGACATTTCATAAGATTAGATTATGAACTCTTAAGAGGAACGACCTATAACTAGTCCCTCCTTGATGAACTCACCCAACCTCAGAGTCTAGCCTAGGACATGATCTATGTCAGACGCACAATAATTATGGAAGAAAACAACTTTAAAAAGGAAAGAGCCTGTAATCCCAGCACTTTGGGAGGCCGAGATGAGTGGATTGCCTGAGCCTGCAGGTTCAAGACCAGCCCAGGCAACTTGGCGAGATCTTGTCTCTACAATCAATCAAAAATTAGCTGGGCGTGGTAGGGCATGTCTGTAGTTCCGGCTACTTGGAAGGCTGAGGCAGAAGGATCGCTGAAGACCAGCAGGTCAACGCTGGCATGGCCGTGAATGTGCCACTGCACTCCAGCCTGGGCGACAGAGTGAGATTCCAACTCAAAAAAAAAAGGGGAAAGAAGGAAAAAAAGGAGATAAGAAAACCCTCTAAACGGTTTAGTTATCTTCAGTTATTTTAATGAATCTTTCAGAAACTCACAGAGTGAGTGGATCTTCCTTTTATTTTGATTTAAAGAGGACAAACTGCCATATCATACTTTCATGGTTGAAAATATCATAAAAAACAAGCGTCAACAAGGCAGCCCAACTCTTTCAGTGCCAAGAATCACTTTTTAGACACAAAGAAGAGCTTATCAAGAGACAGACTTACCAAAAATAAGTGGTATGTTTTCCTACAGGATAAGGCATGCCAAATTAATTGTTACATTTTTTGACTTTTATCCTTTAATATCTTCTCTGTAAGTTAACGGAAGCAGGCTAGATTTTCAATGTAGCATGTTCACCCTCTTGAATTTGTGTTGGGTAATTTTCCACCATTACCTTTGTCATTTTAAAATTCTCCCTGTAGCTTTTTTATGCTTTCAGTTTTGTGAAGGTACCTTAACACAGTGGAACAGATATCTTCACACTGTTTTTTTTTTTTTTTTTTAATTTTTAAAAATTTTTTTCAGGAGGTTGTTTTTCAAGTGGTTGTTTGGCATAGCATAGCTGAATGTAAACTTTAAAATTAAACAGACTTTGGTTTAAAACTCTGATTCTTCTATTACTTGCACTCTGAACTTTAGTATTTTTAGGTAAATTGGGGATAATTATACTTATTTGTTGAGTAGTGGCAAGGATTCATAAAGACATATAAATAACATACCTAGCACAATACCTAGTACATGGGAAAAAAATCTGCAAATGTTAGGTCCTAAATTGTACAGTTAGGGACTTAAAGCTCCTTGCGTTTCTCCTCTGACATCAGTCATCTCAATAGTAGGTTAGTTATTTCTTGTCTGATGACATTGTCATATTCTCTTTCTCAAATGATCCTTGGGCATATTTCTACCACTGCTAAACTCCTAATAAAATTTGGTTTTTGCACTTCTCTTAGGAGCCAGGTGGTAGACGTAAGACCTCAAATGCCATTGACTCAGGTGCTGCAACCCCAGTACTTGATGATGAGAATGACTGTAAGGATACATCAGAGTCATCAACACAATTGGGTTTTTCTGCCAACCACTCCTCTCCTTCCAAAGGTTCTGGAAGGGTTGCTGATGCTGACTTTGCCAGTGCCGTTTGTGAGTGTGTTTAATATAATCTCTAAATGCTGCTATCTACTCATATACTAAATAGTGTATAACACTGGTTCATAATCTAACAGGAAACAAGTCATTCTGGTATTCACTTGCATAAATTTAGATTCAGTATCAACAAAGGGGCCTGAATGAAGCATATTTGTATACCTAACCCTTAACTGTACCCCACAATATCAAAATAAAAATATTGATAAAAAAATTTAGATTGAGAAATGCTTTTAAAAATTGAGTCCTCACTGAATCTTCATGGTACCTTAATTTGAGCTACAATTGAGAAATTGAATTCTTCATCTGAATTATTTTTGCATTCCAATCACAGTAACAAAATATATTTGTATTTAGTAATATATTTTAAACATCATGATTTGTCTTGTCTGATGCTTTCAGAGTTACTGAAAAGATACTTCTAGGAAAACACAAAACACACTAAAGGAAAATAAATTTGTCTAAGCTGTATCTCATTCGTGGAAACACTCTAGTGCATATAGCATATAGACTAGTAATTAGTAACTTCCCCTTACTTATTTGCAGTATATGCTGGATTTGTGGAAGTACCAGAGGAAATACCTAAGCTACCCTCTGAAGTCAATGTTAATCCACTCTATATTTCTCGTGCTTGTAAAAAACCACTAATCCACATGTATGAAAAAGAATTCACTTCTGAGATCTGCTGTGGCTCTTTATGGGGTGAGTTTGTTTTCCTAATACCAAGTTTTTTTTTAAGAATTTTTTTTCATCTACGTAGAAAACCTGTGAAAATCATAGACAAAACACATTTGTTTGCTGTTATCAAATCATTATCAGTCAAATAAAAATGTATTTTAGTAGCTAATTTGCTAAAAATTGGTTTAGCTGATTTTTGTCACTCACTGCAGTTTGATGTTTGAATTGATGGTCCCAATCTTTTTATTCTATTTTATAATTTGAATTAACTTGACTAAAAAATAAAATTGGACTTGATTACGATTATTTGAAAATTGAAGTTTAGTATTTCTAATTTAGGGTAGTGTTCAGCATATGACTCCTAATGAAGTATTACAAGAAAAATGTCTGCAGGAACTTGTTTCTAAAAAAATCTCAAGGATTTGTTGAGGAAGTTCCTTCTATAATATCTTAACTTTGAAAGACTTTTTTCAGTGCTTTGTTTTGAAGAATTATACCAGTAATGCTGAGGCAATATATTACCCCACACCAGTCTGAATTGTAAATGAAACAGAATAAACGAATGCAAGGAGAGGAGAAATACAAAGTAAATGTCAACCTGACTTTAATTTCATAGGTTTTGTTTAATGTATGATTGAACAAGGGTCATGGTTTTAAATTTAAAATAGAACAGGATAGCAAACATTATAATTATATGAATTGAAGAACTTAGAAAAATGGCATCTCAAAGCTCTGCTATTTTCATGTTCACACAACAAGGAATCATAAATATTTCAGTCAGTTAACTACTCAGAAATGCAGTTAATGTCAATAAATTATTTTTATAACTTGTGATTTTATATTTTGAAAAATAAAAGATTATAGTAAAGATTGCCTATACTTTCTCCTCCCTCCCAAATTTCCCTGTGGGAGGAAAATGCAGTTTCTAAACCTGCAATTTGTCATGAATCAGAAAACTAGTAAAGAATATAGTGGGGAAATGAAAGCAAAAACATTCATCTTTTCCTCTTTTAAACCCAAGGAGCACAAATATCCTCCAAGCAGAAGGAAGACTCTGACATTGTCTCCTCTGTTACATTACTTGGCTCATGGTCTCTTATGCTAGTTTATGGGGAAAATTTTCTACAATATTCTGAAATGTAATTGAAGTTTAGTTCTATCTTCTGTTTCTTTTGTAAACAAGGCTTATATTTGAACAAATAGAGCCAGTTGACAAATAAAAAAAGAGTGTAGGAATTTAGATACATGAAGGTAGGTATTAATTTCACAGGCATTTAGCAATGTTAAATTTTGATATATGCATAAACATAGAATCATTCAATTTGAAAACAATTATTTACATGTAATTATCTTTAAAGCATTAAAACCTTTAGTTATGGTTAGGAATGATAAATGAACTGAATTGAATTTGTATGTGCTAAACTAAGGATGGTAATTTTCAAATTTCCAATCAGTTGAACTGATTTTGATAAAGTTTAGGGCACCGTTAAATGGTGCTAAGATACATAATAAAGTTATGTTTGCAAGACAGAACACCAGAAACCAGCTAGTAAAATATTGCCAGAGGGAATTATCTCCTATATTTTCATGAATTTCAATGAAACTTATTCTGTTGGTAGAGAGTACATAGTTACACAGTGGGAAGTCATCATTAACCTAAAATGGTAAGTCACCTTTACATAGATTAGCACATTGGAATAACAGACATAGTAATTTTTTACATAGATTAGCACATTGGAATAGCAGAAATGCAAGTACAATAATAATTTTAGCTAATATAGCACTTTTTAATATATGAACAGGAGTCAATTTGCTGTTGGGAACCCGATCTAATCTGTATCTGATGGACAGAAGTGGAAAGGCAGACATTACTAAACTTATAAAGCGAAGACCATTCCGCCAGATTCAAGTCGTAGAGCCACTCAATTTGCTGATTACGATTTCAGGTTTGTTTATGAACTAAAATTAGCTAAGTAATTACGCAGATTAATTAGATTGCAAACTGGGTTAAAGACCTTCTTAGGTGTAAAAGATCAAAGTAGAACACTTTCATAGGAGAACACTTTAAATATAACCTTTAATTGGGACACCAGACTTTCATGCTTGTATTTTCTTATCTATTTACAATTTAAACTAACTTCCTAGCTTAGGTTAATGTTAAGAAAAACCACGCTATTTGCATCCTTGGAGTAGCTTCCTACAACTTCACAGCTCTGATTCTCATCGACTAATGCACAAGGACCACACCAACATCAACCATGTGTCTTTCTTATAATGTATTAGAAGCAACAAGAGCAAAGTGGACAATAACCGGATATAAAAGAGACTTGTCCCTGGCAAAGCCTTATCACGAGGACCTACAGACAGAGTTAATAACAAGAATGAATCCCCTAACTATACTTTGCCAAATAGTAGTTGAATTTCTTAGTTTGGATCAGTCAGTGCCTGAATCTTTGTATAGGAGAAATCAAATAAATGAGTTTTAAGAATGATTGTGAATACTAAACAGAACATAGTATCAGGAAAGCACCTGCATTAAAGCTGACTATAGGCAAAAGGTGACTGATAAAAGGAGAGAAGTAAAAAAAATATGGCTTGGCGATACAATAAGATGATGCTAATAACAGATATTTATATGGGTTTATATATTCTTATAATATATATTTTGTATATAATTAGTGTGCAAATTGCCATGTTGCACACTAATGATTAGGCATAGTCCTAATATCTTTCATTTTGCTTTAAATTTTGGTTAGAGAAAAAACCCATAAGAATATACTCAGACTTCATGATTTTTTAATCATGCTTCATGGTCAGTCAGTTACAATTGTTTGAGGTACACAGAAGTAATATTTACTTTTTGAAAACATCTGGTGACTTACAGACCATACATCTAGATAACAGATCAGATTTGGTTTTACTTTTTCTCCAGCTTTCTCTAACTCAAACGCACCCTTCTTTAATGCTTGAACTTCTCACAAATGTGGATTATTTTTGCATCCAGTAGTACTGACATCAATACAGGAAGATACTCAATAGTTAAAATCACAAATATATTTTACCATTTAAGAATAGAATGACCATCGACATAGATATCTGAACCCTAATTTTGCTTCAAAACTGTTATATAAAAACATATTAAAGAGCAATCACATAAGAATCCTATTGTTGGGCCTAGAAATTTTGTAATAATAAGCCCTAAGAATGATGAAGAAAAATGAAAATAAAGTCACTATATAGGAAAAGAAATGTGTGATTTTCAAGGCCTGGTTTCCTGACTTAATGTAAGAGTTTAATGGAATTTACAATTAGAAAATTAACGTTAAATATAAATTGGATTGAAGGAAAAATAATAAAACTGTTCAACTATTTTATAAGCATACTAGAATGGCAGAACACAAAGAGACCTTTCCTACTGGCCCTGAATGCATAAACAGTCAATATTCAGACATCCCACTTATAACACTCACATTACCAGGGACAGCTTCTAGGTCTCTGAATTCCAGAGAAGTCATCACTTAGTGAATGCCAAGATGCAAATAAGTGGATAGTAGTTATCTTGCCTGTATACTGGCAGTCTTTTTTTTTTGAATTGGAGTCTCACTCTGTCACCCAGACTGGAGTGCAGTGGCCGCTCCCAGCCTCGACCTGCTGGGCTCCGGCGATCCTTCCACCTTAGCCTTCCAAGTAGCTGGAACTACAGGCGTGCGCTACCACACCTGTGACTTATTTCTTGATTTATTGTAGAGATGAGGTCTCGCCAAGTTGCCCAGGCGGGTCTCGAACCTGCGAGCTCAGGCAATCCACTCACCTCAGACTCCCAAAGGCACGGGATTACAGGCTGAGCCACCGAGCCCGGCTGACTGGCAGTCTTAAATTGTCCCCCAATGTGTCTTAGATCCACTTTTGACAGGTACACATGTAGACACTGACTATTTATTGGAAGTGAGAGACTAAGACAGATTTTGCTATCACATTTCCAAACTCTGAAGGGGAGACTCTGATGCAGTGAAGTTTTTAAAAGCTATTTTCACCTTATTGAAAATATTTGGTTAGAAAAGCAAAAGGCCACTTCGCAACAACTTGGATGGATTTAGAATTGATCATATCCAGTGATCTATCACAGAAACAAAGAACAGAGTACCATATGTTCTCACTCATAAGCGAACCTTGAACAATTATCATAATACTATAAGAAAGGGATATGAGTAGTGGGAAACTGCCAGGGGAGGTGGGGCGGGATTGACAGTCGAGGGAAACTGCCAGGGGAGGGAGGGGCACACCTCATCAACAAGGGTACCTGCATAATCAACATTTGTATACTTAAAACTAAATTGTAACCCACATCTTTAAAAGAAAAAAAGTAAAAATATACCAAGATATGATTGATTTTTCAAAAAGCAAAATGCCTTTATGTTTTTGTTCTTCTAATATTTGAAAAGAAAGACTGAATTGAAATACTAGCTTTTCTTATCTATCAGGCCATAAGAACAGACTTCGGGTGTATCATCTTACCTGGCTAAGGAACAAGATTTTGAATAATGATCCAGAAAGTAAAAGAAGGCAAGAGGAAATGCTGAAGACAGAGGAAGCCTGCAAAACTATCAATAAGTTGACAGGCTGTGAACACTTCAGTGTCCGTAAGTCACGGATTATGTTTACTATAGCTATAAAAATTTTGCATCCTTTCATTTGGTGAAGTACATAATTATGAAAGGCAAAGTAAAGAAAAGGAAAAAAAAATGCAGATTCAAAAACAAGGATTATGAATTTATTGAGACATCTTCCAGGTCTTTCATGCTACAGCTTTGACTGTTTTTGATAAAATATTGATTAACTAAAAGAGCAATTGAAGTTCAGTTTGATTTACTTTCTCACCTTTCTTCCTTTCCTGGTCACCATAAATATTCCAGATAAACCAAATTTTTTCCTACCTCAATATAGCTTCAGTTATATAAGTGGTCTTGATGTATTTTCACCAACCTGGGAAAATTGCTATAATATTTTCTTTCTTTGGAGCAACAACAAAATAAAACTTCTCTAAATATCGACTAGTAAACATCTATGATGAATCAGAAAGTCAATTCTTCTATGATCTGCCAACTCTTGCTCCCACTATCCATATTCATGAGAATAATCACTATTTTCTCTCTAATTAGAGGGTTTTCATATCCCTTGTCTCTTCACAATCATCCACTGTGAAATGGAGTAGTAACTCCAGAGGCTCAGAATCCTGCTCTCAGCTATCAACAACTGTGAAGTAATGTCATGCCATTCTTATTTCTAAAGAAAATGCCCCTCTACTCAAAGCCTTCTTGTGTTTCTTTCCCTCTTCATTAATTGTTCCTTCAAGCAGAACTGATGACATAGGTAGGGGATAACTGGAATAACATTATATAAATTGCAACAGGATGTTTCTATCCTGACTGACCACCTGCATGTAAAGTGACTTTCCCAGGATAGGTTTTCATATGTGTGTACATATGCATACATACACAATTAGAGGGGAAAATGAATACCCAGATAATGTAAGCATTAAATAAAAGCACTACTTTCTTCTAGTTTTAGGTATCACTTCTCTCCTCCAAATCATATTATGCAAATTTGATAGGCCCAGAGGTGAAAAATATCCCTAGATGTTAACCCGGGAGATTATATAACAAAACATATCCTAATACCTTGTAAATGTTTAGTTTAATAAGAGATCATTACAAAGGTAGTCATTTTGCAAATCTGTGATCTTGGTAAGGTGACAGACTAGTTAAGTCCAGTTTTCCCAGCTGACCCCATTTCAATCCACCCCAGCTCTCAGAACAACAGAGCATTTGTACCACTGACAGGTGTAGCAGTAGCATCTTCACACAGGAGAATAGCGACAGATCATACTTCTCTGGTAGTTGCATTCCTGACCTATGTAAAATTTGTGGGAATGTTTGTGGGAAGTGTCTTCTTTTTTTTTTTTGAGTTGGAGTCTCACTCTGTCACCCAGACTGGAGTGCAGTGGCTGCTCCCGGCCACTGCAGCCTCGACCTGCTGGGCTCCGGCAATCCTTCCACCTCAGCCTTCCAAGTAGCCGGAATTACAGGCATGCGCTACCATGCCTGGCTGATTTTTTGTTTGTTTGTTTTTTGATTTGCTGTAGAGAGGAGGTCTCATTGCCCAGGCGGGTCTCGAATCCGCGGGCTCAGGCAATCCACTCACCTCAGCCTCCCAAAGGCGTGGGAATACAGGCTGAGCCACTGAGCCCGGCTGGGAAGTGTCTTCTTAAAAGAGGGGTCAGCACAAAATATCAATCAGGTTCAATCTGTTCCATAAAAACCAGAAGGAAAACCAGGCTCGGTGGCTCAGCCTGTAATCCCGCGCCTTTGGGAGGCTGAGGTGAGTAGATTG